ACTATTGTCATCACGCTCCTTGGTAGTTCGACATGTATGTGTCTCCAGCAGCCCCCTGCCCCTATCTGAGAGGACCCTAACAGTCGGGACCCCTCTCTGAGACAGATGGTCACAGCACCCAGATCTGACTAAGGCAGCTGACACCCCCCCACAAAGTTTCTGCCTCGTGTGACTGTCTTCTCTCCTCTCTGGGTGGCCAGGACCCCAAAGCCAGGGCTCCTGGGGCCACCTTGCCCACGTGTGTGCGAAGAGAGAGCCACCTGAGAACCCAGCTGAGCAGAGGCCGGAGAGGCGGGGCCTTGGCAGCATCCTTTGGGCACCTGGATACAACCGTGCCTCATGGCACGGCTCCTCCTGGACTTGGCGCTGACTGCGGCCAGCAAATTCCTTCTTAGTTGAAGTTACTTTGGATTGTTTCTGCCATGTGCCAACCTGCACCAAATGCAATTGCTGGGCTCTGGGAGGCTGAGATGGGAACGAGGAAGCCCACAGCGTGGGGACCTAGCGGGACCTGTGGTGGGCAAGACGTGGAGCGCGCGCACGCAGGCAGGCACCTGGACACAAGCTCCTGAAGTGCCCGAGGGCCGAGTGACACTTGCTCGCCATGCCTGGAACGTGGTGGGGACTCGTGCCAGCTGTCACTACTAGTGACACTGCACTTCCGTGCCCTGGACTCCACTCCGGGGGCGGTGGGTGTGTGACTGACCTTTTTCTTACAGTAACCTCCCTGTCCGGTGGTTGCTATGCTCATTTCTCAGATGGAGGTGCGGAGAGTTTGCATAACTTGCCCGAGACCACACAGCTTGGCCGCGGTCGGGTGAGCGGGAAGGCAACGCCGTGCTCCTGCCGGGACACACAGAGCCATCGCCTTCCCTGCCCACCGTGTCCCCCACCTGCTGCGGAAGGTCCTGGGGGAGGCCAGGGGCTTTTGTGGAGGAGCCACGAGGAACCTGGAGCGCATCCTCCTCAAGCAAGCCTACCCTCCCAGCGCCCTGGCCGGAGACCCGGCTAACTCCTTCTGGGAGCCTCTCATGGACCAGGGCTGGGGAACGGGTCTGTGGCCACAGGACAGAAGGCTCAGGAGGACACTTCCACCCTAAAGCATCCCAGGGCAGCAGGGAAGCCCCAGGAGGGAGCAGGTCCTGTCACCGCCTCCCAGGTCAGCCTTCCGTGGGTCCCGCTGCGACCTGAGCTCCCTGCTGGCCACGAGCCTTCTCTCAGGCAGCTCACCCACGGCCTGGGGGCTGCCCGCGGAGGATGCCGAGATTCAGATGGAAACTGAGGCAAGCACAGCCACACGCAGAGCCATGCATGAGCCTCAGCGGGACGGTCACTTTTATCTTTAAGACGCTGGGAATCAACCAAACACGTGTCGCCACGTGGACAACATCTGTCACGGGTCTGTGGCCCACGGGGAGGACACAGCAGCTTCACTGTGTCCACGGTGGGAAGTGGGTCCTACCACGTTTTCACTTTTTCTTCTCTCTGTGGTACCTCCTGGTGGTCCCTGGTGTCCTGCAGGGACCCGACAGGCACTGGGGGAGGAGACTGGGTATAAAGACGTAGATCACCCACATGTGCACCTGCCATGGCCTTGCGTGGCGTGGTGAACATACGTTCCTGACCCCAGGTTCACCTCTCGGCTACGGAATTCGAGGATCAGAGAATCCAAGGGATTCAGAGTGCTGGCTGGGTGTACCCCACCTTTTTTCAGAGATGGATGGACTGACCTGAAGGTGGTCCCGCAGCCAGCCTCAGGGTTCAGAGCAAGGTCTGTCCTTCACATCATACCCCAACGACCAGGCAGCTTCCCGTGCGGGACCTCAGGCAGGCATCGGCCCACCTCCTGAGGGGCCTGCCTGGGCACCTGGGAGCCCTGTGGGCACTCCTGTGTCGGAGCCCACGCTGGGTCTGATGAGTGGGGACAGGCCATGTAGTGAGGACCTTGGAGCTAAGGCGGGACTGGGGCAGGTGAAGGATGGCGCTGAAAGCAAGTAATGAGGCCAGGAGGCCAGGTGCCTTCCATCCTCAAGTAGGGGTCTCCCAGGCCCGCAGCAGCTGGCAGGGGCAGGACAGGGCCTATAGGACGTCCTAGGACCCCCTGGGGTTCAGAGGCAGCACAGGGAAGGAGCTGGGAAACACACTGCAGACGAGGCCAGAGGAAGGCACAGGACATGCCCGGGTCACACGGCAGGTTCCCAGGGCATCGCCCCCTCGGCCTGCTCCTCCCCTTGGCCAAGAGCCCAGGCCCCGAATGCTGCCCAGACACTCCACTCCCTCCAGGCCCGGAGGCCCCAGCAAGCTCTTCTGGCCTGGCTCCCAGGCTGCCCAACCACCCCCCCGTCTGCCCCATTCCTGCCTCACTCTCCCGGAGAGTGCCCGGCTGGGGCTGGAGAGGGACTGCAGCCTGCCATCTTGAGGAATCGGCTGAGACCAGACCATGGAGCGTGGAGCATCTCCCTGCCCCAACCCCTGCAGGGTGTCCACTTGTGCAGTCTGGCCACACAGGAGTCGGGAGAGGTGGGAGGAATTTGGAGAGAAATCATTCTTGAAGCCCGTGGGCAGTGTGAGCGCACGCATGGGAGGGCCAGGCTCTCGGGGGGACCTGCTTATCCAGAAGGGACACAGGTTGGCCCAGAGGGGACACCCCCCCCCCCCCGCCCTGCAGGAGCTCGCTGCGCCCTGGTTGCCACCCCGTCCTGCCTTGCTCGCTGCTGCTGGTGTGCAAATGGGCCGCATGAAATACCTTGAAATTCTCCGGAAACGAGTGTTCAGTAAGTCCACACTGCACTCATGGATGCATGCTGCAAAAGTTTATTGAGCTTCTCCTGGGTGCCAGGTTCAGGGGTGTCACTGCAGAGGATCCAGCGGCCAGCCTGGGGGAAGCTGGGCCGGGGTAGTGGACATAAAACCCGGTGGTGAAACCTGCCCCTGCTGAGGCTGTGGATGCAGAGGAAGGCTGAAGGCAGGAGGGCACCGGGGAGGGGGCATGGAGGAAGCCTCCGGGAGGCCAGGCGGGCTGGACCCAGGTGGAGGGGAAGGGAGTGGAGGAGGAACGAGAGTCGCCAGGGGAGGGAGAAGGGCTGAGGGTTAGGGTTAGGGTTAGGGTTAGGGTTAGGGTTAGGGTTAGGGGCTCAGAGGCAGGGCAGTGCCTGGGAATGCCCGGAGCATCAGGAAGCTAATGGAGGGGGTACAGAGCCAAGATAGAGACAATGACCAAGAAGGGCTGAAGCCCAGGCAGCCCGGTCACAATGAGGGGGACAAGGGCACAGACAGCACACACCTGTGGCTGAGGCTGGTCCATTTCCTCCCAGAAGCCTCAGCCTCAACCACGCTGGGCACTGGGAGTTACTCTGCCAGGAGGGAGTCCGTGGCTGCATTACCGCACACCCACCCACCCACCCACACAGGGCAATGCGGGGCAGGGGTCAGGGCCCAGGCTCACCTCCAAGCCCTCCCTTTCACAGGAGACAGCCCCCAGGAGGATAGTCTGGGAAGCAGGGAGGTCCCTCCTCCTTCCCCCACCCCCACCCCCGAAGCCCAGCCCTCCCCTGGCTCCACTCTCATGCCAAGTTACTCCTGGACCCAGTTCCACTTGTCCCTCCTTGTCCTTCCCCTGCCCGCCCCCTGCTGGAGCTGGGAGAGGGCAGGCAGAAAGGGGCAGCCCAGCCAGGCCCAGAGGCCTGGGGCACAGCCCCAGCTCCAACACGGGTCCCCCCAGGGCAAAGCCTGCAAGGCCACTGGGGCCAGGCCCCTCTGAGAGGCCTGGCGCTCCCCCAAATCCCAGGTGGGTCTTGGCCTTGGGCCAAGATTCTCACTGCTCACCCCTAGGACAGGTGGGCAGCCGGTAGAACGGGCCAGGCCTAAGGTGAGCTGGGGTGCTGCCCTGGGCTGGGGGCCAGGGGCAGGAGTGGGGCAGGGGCTGCTTGGGCAGGAAAGAGGATTTGAGAGAGGGAGAGGAGTGGGAGGACGGAGCCCATGGGGAAAGGGGGCAGCGTGAGCCCTGGAGTCAGTCCCAAGCTGAGATGCTGGTCCCGTAGCCCAAAGGCCAGTACCACCTGGGTCTGTCCGCACCTGCACAAGGTGTGGGGAGACAGGTATGGCGGAGCACCTTGTCCAGGGTTCTGAAACCCCAAGGAGTGCATGTAGCCTGGCAGCACAAAGGGCAGAGCAGGTTCCCCCCAGAACAGCTGGCAGCCCTAAGAGACTGCTCCCCTGAGCTTCGGTGGGGCTGGAGGGAGTGTGAGTGTGTGTGTGTGTGTGTGTGTGTGTGTATGTGTGTGTGTGTGTCTCCTCCACAGGACTGGGCGCACCCACAGAGGAGACCAGACGGGCTAGTCTCACATCTGCCCCAGACCACACACGCCATAGCCATCACCACATACCCCAGGCAGCACAAAAGGCTCCCCCAGCCCAAAGTGGCTTTTCATTTTCAAGACTAAATTTGGAAGGGGGGGGGGGGGGCTGCCCAGTTCTGGCAGCAGGACAGGTCCTAGAAGTGCGCCCTCAGAAATCAAGGAGTAGGGACTTGAGAGTTTGTCCAACGAAAGTCGGGACTCCTCTTGCCCCAGCCCAGGAGGCAGCAACCCCAAGCCCCCAACCCTCTCAAGAGACTTGCAGAGTGGCCTTCTCTCCCTATCCTCTCCACCACCACCACCCCCTCCCCCGCCACAAACAAACAAAGGAAAAAAGTTTGTTAATGCAGAGGAGCTCTCCGGGAAGACAAATGGGACACCCCCTCCATCACCACTCCACCCACCCCCCAAGCCCCCCACTTCCACCCACACCCCCCTCTTGCCACAGCCCAGCCAGGTGTGGCTCAGAGAGAGTTCACTAACCTACCTGAAAGCCCCCTGCCAGGGTGGTTAGGGGCCGGGCAGGGTCGGAGAAAGTAGGAAAGAGGCTGGCTTCCTCCTAGAGAAGTTCCTGGGCTGTGCAGCCCCTACCCCGGGGCCCCAGGCGGCATAGCCATGGCCTGACTGGGAGGCAGAGGAGAGGGGCTACCCTCCCAGGCGCACCGCCTGCCCCTCAAGGTCCTGTCCTGCCCAAGCCACTGGGCCAACAGGAAGCTCCCGGGACAGAGTCCCTCCGGGGCCCGGAACACCGGAGGGGGGACCTCCGCACCTGAGTCCTAGTCGTCTATCCCGCGCGCACCGGTCCCGCAGGGTTCCGGCCGGAGGCTCCGAGCCCCGGGGTGGACAGATGGACGTTTCTCCGGACTGGCTCCCCCACCGCCGCCGCCGCGAGTGAGCGCTTTCCCCTCGCCCTCTCGGCCCCGCGGGCTCCCGCCTCGGCCCGGGCGCCAGCGAGGTTCTCCGTCCCGGGGAGAAGTTGGGCGGCCGGTCCCGGGAGAAGTTGGGCGGCCGGTCCCGGGGAGAAGTTGGGCGGCCGGTCCCGGGGAGAAGTTGGGCGGCCGGTCCCGGGTCGGGCGGCGCGCGGGACGCCGGCAGCAGCCACCGCATCTGACTCGGGCTCGGCCACCGACACCCGAACAAGACCCCGCGGCTGTGCGGGCGCCCCGGGCAGCTCGGCCCCGCAGACGGGGTGCACATCGCTCGGGACCGGGCGCGAGCCAGGCCCGGTCGGAGGGGGACTTGTGTTCCCAGCTTCGGGGACCTTGGGTCAAGGCACTTCCCCGCCCGGCTGCCCCTGAGACCGACCTCGCCGCCGCCGGTCCCGCGCCCGGAGCGATCCGAAGGCCCCCCGCGAAGTTGGGGAGCTGCCCTTCACCCCCAAAGAAAGTCTCGTTCCCGGCGGAGAGGACGCACTTTGCGCGTCCGTGCGCCTCCGCGCCCAGGGGAGCCGCGGCGCTCGCGGGCTGTCGGCGAAGGTGGCTCGGCTCGGGCGCTCCCGTCCCGACGCTCCCGGGGCGGAGAGCAACGTCTGGGGACGCACGGGACGGGTGCGCCCGGCGGCCGGGGCTGCGCCGGGCGCGGCGAGCGGCGGGAGGGGAGCGCTCCGGGATTCGGGCAACAGCTACCCCTAGTGGGAGAGCCGCCGGGGCCGCCGCGCCCCGCGCCCTCGCCCGCCGCGCCCCGCGCCCGCCCGCCGCGCCCCGCGCCCCAAGCGCTCCCGGGCGGGCTGGGCGCAGGGACGGCGCCGCTCTCTCCGGCGCTCCCGTCCGCGGCGCCCGGCGCTCCCCGGCCCGCGGGCCCTGCCCTCCGCGCCGCCCGCCGGGCTCCCGGCCGCTGACCCGGAGCGGAGGCGCGGGGCCGGGCCGCGATGGGACGGGGCGGGCGCGGCCGGGGCGGCGCGCGGCGGGCTCGGGCGGCGGCGGGGAGCGCCGGGCGCGGTGTGCGTGGCGGGGCCGTGCGGGGGGCGGCCGTGTGCGAGGCGCGAGTGTGAGCGCGCGCGGGAGACGAGCGGGCGAGCGGGCTCCGGGAAGGCGAGCGGCGGAGCCCGCGGGCGGACGGGGAGAGGCGGCGGGCACCCGAAGTTGCTCCTTTGCCGGCCCGCGTGCCCCGGGGGGCGGGAGCCGGGGCCGGCGGAGCGGCGGCCGGGGGGACCCGGGCCCCGGCGGCACCTGGGCAGCGGCCCCGCACGAGCGGCGGCGGCGGGGGCGGCGTTGGCGGCGGCGGCGGCGGCGGCGCGCGGGAAGAAGCGAACCGAGGCTCCGGCGCGGCGCGGCGGGCGCTGGAGAGCTCCGCTCAGGTGCGCGGCGAGGGGCGCGGGCCGGGGCCGGGCTGCTGGGGCCGGAGCTCGCCGGCACCGCACTCCCTGCAGGATCTCCACCCGCACACACCTGGGTCCCAGGTCCTGCTCGCCGTCCTGGGAGGCAACCCCGGCCGGGGTCCCCCCGCCCCCCTCGGAGCTGGCTAAGGCGGCCCGGCCCACGGGCACTACCCACCGCCCGGGCCGGCCCCGCCCTCGTGCCGCCGGCGCCCACCCGCCCCGGGCCCGGGATTCCTGATTTCTGAGGCTGTGGCCCCCGCGGCCGGGGCATCCCTCCAGGCTCAAGTTGCAAGGGGGCGGGCCCGGCCGGAGGTGGAGTCTCCCTCCCGCCAAGGGAAGCCTCGGATATAAATTGAGCTCCCTGCACCGCTCCGGCCAGATGCCGGGCCAGGCCGCCCCGCCGTTGCTGGGGGGGGAGGGCGGGGGGTCCCAGGGGGCGTGGGGGGCCGTGGCTACCATGCTCCGCTCCCTCTTGCTTCACGCCCTGAGGCTGTGCGCCCAGACGGCCTCGTGCCTCACGCTCTTCCCGCGCTTCCTCTGCACGGCCTTCATGCTCTGGCTGCTCGATTTCCTGTGCATCCGCAAGCATTTCCTGGGCCGGAGGCGCCGCGGGGGTCGCCCGGAGCCCGAGGTGGAGCTCCAAGGCCAGGAGGAGGAGGAGGCGCCCCCCGACGACCCGCCCATCTGCGTGTCCGACGACAACCGCCTGTGCACGTTGGCCTCGCTGCGGGCCGTGTGGCACGGCCAGAAGCTGGACCTCTTCAAGCAGGCGCACGAGGGCGGCCCGGCGCCCAACTCGCAGGTGGTGCTGCCCGACGGCTTCCAGCACCAACACATCCTGGACTTCGCGCGCGGGGACCGCCCGCTGGTGCTCAACTTCGGCAGCTGCACCTGACCGCCGTTCATGGCGCGCATGGGCGCCTTCCGCCGCCTGGTCACCAAGTACCGGCGCCACGTGGACTTCCTCATCATCTACATCGAGGAGGCGCACCCCTCGGACGGCTGGGTCACCACGGACACCCCCTACATCATCCCGCAGCACCGGAGCCTGGACGACAGGGTCAGTGCGGCCCGGGTGCTGCAGCAAGGGGTGCCCGGCTGCGCCCTGGTCCTGGACACCATGACCAACGCCAGCAGCTCCGCCTACGGCGCCTACTTCGAGCGCCTCTACGTCGTGCAGAGCGGCGTCATCATGTACCAGGGCGGCCGCGGCCCCGATGGCTACCAGGTCTCAGAGCTGCGCGCCTGGCTGGAACGCTACGACCAGCAGCTGCAGGGCGCACTGGCCCGGCCGGTGTAGGCGCCCGAGGGGGACCGAGGGACCATGGACTGAACTGGGAAGGCCCCGCCTTCGCGCCTTCGAGGCCCACGTGTCAACGAGGTCCCCAGCCAAGCCAGCTTCGACGAGGGCCCCCGTGGTGACCAGCTGTGCTGAGCCACAGGTGGCAGGCTGGGTCTGCACCCTCAGCTGTCTGAAGACCCTCACCCCCAGCCCCTCCTCTGCTCCTGAGACTGTCCCTGCCTTCTGCCTATGGATGTGGTGCTGCCCTTTGCCTCGTGCCCCTGGACTTGTCCCCCAGAGACCCCCTGCGGTGTTCTCTCGCGCCCCCTCCCCAGAGCAAAGGCCAACAGAGCCTTTAGCAGGGTCAGCGCTGTGGCCTCTGCAGAGAGACTCCTCTGGCCGCGCCCTGGCACCTGCCCCATCGCCTTGTCGCCACACCTGCCGCCGGGGGAGGGGGTGCCGGCTGTTCTGTGTCTGTGTCGTGTCCGTGCGGTGGGGGAGGGGGGTGGGCAGGGTAGCTTCCCCCCCTGTGTTGCGGCGCCCCGGAGCCCCGCTGCTGATGATGAGCTGCCTCTAACTGGTCTTGACCACGAGCTGCCTCTGAATTGCAGGGGGGCCCCCAGCGGCGCCTGAAACCAGTGGGGGGAAGAGCCCTGGGCTTCCGCAAGGAAACCACCATCGAGGGGGCGGGGCAGGGGAGGGGGTGGGGATTGTCTTGGGACCAGAGGAGAGCGGGTTCAGGGGGTTCGCAGAGGCCCCCGGAGAAGGGAGAGGCCAAGGCTCCCAGAAGTGGGGTCTGGGGGGCCTCAGTGGGAGGCCTCCTGTGCAGAGCTGCCATGGCGGGATGGGGAGGCGGGGGGCGGGGGGGCTCGGAGGGCATTCGGTGTTGTGCTGGGAGCACTCCCTGTGTGTGTACTTGTGTGATGTGACCGTAATAAAGGCTGATGTAAACTGCCCTGGTGCTGCCTCTGGTCCCTTTGTTTCCTTCCCCCTGAGCAGCGGCAGGACTCCCACCAAATTCTCTCCCCCGGGTTCCCATAGCGCCCCTGGGGGGAAGGGAGGGCGGGTGGGGGGAGGGGCAGCGGGAGGGAGAGGGGGAACCTACAGGGAAGGTTCTGGGGCGGTACCAGGGCGCGCGCCCGTGCGCTGTGCCGGGTGGAGGAGTTCGGGTCGGGAGGGGGGCTGGGGAAATGGGGGACCTCACACTCACACACACACACACACACACACACACACACACCCCTGCCCCCGCGGGAGGGGAGCTAACTTCTCCCAGCGGCCGGCCTGCGGGGAGGCGATGCATCAGGTGGGGCCGGGCTCCGGCCAACCTCTGCACACCTGGCTCCTCCCAGGCTCCCTGCCACATCTGGCTTCCCCCTGACCGCTCCCCACACCTGCCACATTGTCCCCCCACCCCACCCCCCATCCCCTGGGGCAGCGGAGGTCCGCGGGGGGCCGTGCTGGTGGGGCTCGGGGCGGTGGAAGAAGGGATGGGAGAGGGGAGGAGGGATGGGAGAGGAGCGCGCAGCCACCGCCATCACACCAGAGGCAGCACCTAAGGCAGAGCTGGGGTGGCGCGGCGTGCGCCCCCCTCCCAGAAACTCCCTCCTCCTGACCCTCCTCAGCTTCCCCAAGTTCGAGCCACCCCCCCCCCAAAAAAAAAGGAATGGGAAGCGGAGGAGAAGAAGGAGGAGGAGGAGAAATGAGGCCAGAAAGGGGGGGGGGGGTGTCTTGGGAGGAGGGAGTTGCAACGTTTAGCACAAATCCCCGCCCTCAGTCAAGGCCAGGCGCCCCCAAACCCGCTTCGCTCCCTCCCCTGCTGCCTCCTGGGGGGCGGGGGGTTACCCCGGGACCCAGGAGTTAGCACGGACCCTCCCCTCCGCCCTCTGCTAGCCACACCTGGAGCGGGAGAAGGGGCGGGAGGAAAGAGGAACGAACAAGCGCGGAGGCGGGGGTCCCGGCCTGAGTGGGGGTTGGGGGACAGCCCAGCTTCCCCATGGGGTCCCAGGGCCTCCAAGGGAGGAAGGGGGAGGCGTGTCGGTGCGCTCACTCTGGAGGGGTGCGCGCCGGGAGGGTGGGGGGAATGGGGGCGCAGCGGGAGAGAGAAGAGAGAGGCCCCGCACCACCCAGGCTGCCTCCAGCTCTGCACCCAGCCCAGCGCCTCCTCCTTGAAAACTTTTTGAAACTGACACCCTGGGCTGGGGAAGGGGCGGGGGGGGGGGGGGGAAGGAGAGACCGGCGGGGGGGAGGGGGGGAAGAAGGAGGGTTTTGCTTTAAAAGTATTTATGAAAAGTAACTTCTAAGAAAATTGGCACAGATGGGATTCCTGCATCTCCTCCCCTCCCCTCCTCCTGCGCGCTGCTTCTCATCCCCACCCTCCCCCAACCCCCAGGAGGAATCCGGAGAGAGAAAGCGGGAGAGAGAAAGTGGCGGGACCCGAAAAGGAGATGGGGAGGCCGGTCCAGAGCTGGCCTGGTGGGAGTTTGCCTGCTGGGAGGAAGCGGAGGGCCGCCAGGGGCCACTGGGGTGGGGGGTGGGGGGCGATTGCGCGCTCTGGGGATTCCCGGACCTGCCGGCCTCTTGGGGTCCAGTTAGACACGCTGAGCGACCTCTCCTCCACAAGAAGGTTCACCCTTGGGGCTGGGACCTGTGGCCCCTGCCACAGCGCAGACTGGCCGCCCAGGAGCATTCTGGCACCTCATCACCACCACCTTTTCCTCTCTCTTCCCCTTCCTTCCTCTTTCCCTCTCCCCGACCCTTCATCTTCTGTTTCTTTCTTCCTTTTCACTCCTTTTCTCCATCCTTCCTTTCTTCTTCTCTCTTGACCTTTAAAATCTTGCTTGTAAAGACAATGCGAGCTCAGTGCCGAAATCTCAGACACCAAGCGGACGCAACCTCTGGGTGGGCACTTTCACACTGTCCCATCCCGGCCCTCACACTTGTAAAGAGAATCTTTAACCACAGAGCGGGATTAGCCTTTCCTAGCCTGACAGCCCCTTGGGCTCCTGCTACCTCTCCTGTCAGTGAGGGTTACCCAGCCGGGTGTGAGCGCTCAGGAGCTGGGAGGTATCCTTAGGGCAGCTGACACTGGTCTCGGGGAAATTGCTCGGTCAAGGCATGTGCACCTTCTTGGAGATGTTTGCTTTGCCACAGTTTACTCAACTACCTTCCAGAAAGCCTGTTTGATTTTATTACTTTTTAATGTTTCCCCAGTGCTCGCTCTCTCTTATGTATGTATACATGAAATGTGCAGATAATACATAAATCCATCTTCGATATTAAATTTTAAAAGCAGGAGAACAGAGCAGAAAACACAAGCCTAGCTGAGAGCAGGATTTTTCCAACGGCAAGTGGGGGCCCAGCAGTGGGCCCTGAAACCAGCTCCTCAGAGGCCTGAAGAACTGGGACAGAACAGGCACTGTGAACACCACACACCTTTCACCCGGGGCCACCACAGCTTTTGGAAACTTTTGTTTCAGGGGTGTGTGTGTGTGTGTGTGTGTGTACAGATGGCTGTGTTTCAGGGGTCTGTGTGTGTGTGTTTACAGGTGGCTGTGTTTCAGGGGTGTGTGTGTGTGTGTGTACAGGGGGCTGTGTTTCAGGGGTGTGTGTGTGTGTGTATGTGTGTGTACATGTGGCTGTGTTTCAGGGGTGTGTGTGTGTGTACAGGTGGCTAATGTGTTTCAGGGGTGTGTGTGTGTGTATGTGTGTGTACAGGGGGCTGTGTTTCAGGGGTGTGTGTGTGTGTACATGTGGCTGTATTTCAGGGGTGTGTGTGTGTGTGTGTGTGTACAGGTGGCTGATGTGAAATGCATTTCTCCTGAGGGATCCAACAGGCTTGGACATGGTGGAAAGCCACCACCCTGAAGTTCCCATCCCTCCCTGGTCCTGGACACCCTAAGACCTGTGGAGTGTTTCCCTCCAGACTCTGCATCACCTATTGACTCCCCAGATATGGGTTCCGTAATCAAGACCACACTGCACAGGGATGACCGCCACCCACCCCACACACCATCCTGCCATCCCTTCTCCTGGCACCTTCCCCTGTCCACACAGCTACAGGGAGCAGGTCTGTGCTGCAGGACACCCTGTGGCAGCACCATCCGGCTGGGCCCCCCGCCCCACCCCACCCAGGAGGAATGCAGCTCTGCCCTCATCCTCAGGCATTAGCACTTTCAAGTCCACCATCAGCCTAGCCCATTGCTTAGCCTCAAGCAGAGCGAGGGAGGTGGGCATTAAGCAAGTTGATAGATCATATTTGTCCCTCAGAGACACAAGTGCCTCCTCCAGGAAGACGTGGAGGAAAGGGCATACTGGGTGGAGGGTACTGCTGGTGCCAAGTAGAGGCCCAAAAGTAAGAGCTGTGTTCAGAAAGCAGGGAGTGCCCCCCCCCCCACTGTCCCAAGGTGGCTGCAAAACAGGAGGGTGGGAGGAGGAGCCTTGGGTACCAGCCTAGAATCCCTGCTGAGCCTCAGGGGTGGGAGCCTCAGACCTCAAAGAGAGGAAGGGGGGAAGAGGAAGAGGGAGAGGGAGAAGGAGAAGGAGAGGGAGAGGGAGAGGGAGAGGGGGAGGGGGAGGGAGAGGGAAAGCAAAAGGAGGATGGATGCCTGGGAATGGTGTAGTGGGCGCATCCACCCAGCCTCAGTGACAGAAGGTGCAGCTGCACTCTCAGGAGACAGGCTAGCATCTCTGCCTTGCACCCAGCAGCTGTCCCGAAATACCTGAAAGAAATCACCCAGCTATTGGCCAAAGGGGTAGGTAGATACCAACAGGTTCGTGGCCTCCCCTTTGTAGTATCCAGACCCCTGCCTGTAGGAGAATAACATCCCTAACCATCCCCCACAGGTGGAGCAGTAAAGAGTGACATCTGTGTGCTTGCTCTGGGGCCAGGCACTGGGCAAAGTGTTCCATCAGGAGTGTTTTGGTTTGGTCATCCTCACAGCCCTCATTAGCCCCATTCCATTGATGAAGAAACTGAGGCTTGGCATGGCTGGGGTCAGCTGGGCCTCGGTGTGATGGGCTGAATTGTGTCCTCCTCCAAAATCCTCATGTGGAAGTCCTGACCCCTTCTCCCTGAGGAGGCGCCCTGGCTTGGAGATGGATCTTTAAAGAGGTAATTAAGCCGAAACCGGTGTGGCTCAGAGGATAGAGCGTCAGCCTGCAGACTCAGAGTCCCAGGTTTGATTCCGGTCAAGGGCATGCACCTTGGTTGCGGGCACATCCCCAGTGGGGAGTGTGCAGGAGGCAGCTGATCCATGTTTCTCTCTCATCAATGTTTCTAACTCTCTATCTCTCTCCCTTCCTCTCTGTAAAAAAATCAACAAAATATATATATATTTTAAAATAAAGAGGTAATTAAGTTGGGATGAGGTCAGTGGACTGGACCCTACTCCAATAGGACCAGTGTCCTTATAAGAAGAGATTAGGACAGGAGCACACACAGAGGGACCACCGAGGGAAGCCAGTGAAGTGGCAGCCATTGGCAAGCCGGAGACCGAGGTCCCAGGAGACCCAGCCTCCTGAGCTGCCAGGAAGCCACTGATGTCTCAGCCTGCCTACACCCGGGCTGTGGTCCTTTGCTAGGGCAGCCGGAGCACACAGAGACACAGGTCATGCTCTAGAGTTTAGAGTCT